AGCAGGGATTAGCTATCTACAAAGGCCTGTAATGGACCCTCCCAGGGAGAGGAGTTGGGAAGACAGACTGTGTGGGGAAGTAGGTCTCCCTGTGGGGGTTTTGTGGTGCTGGCTTTAGTGAGCATTTGCTATGTGCAGGACATCTGTCAAAGGTTCTACTTTCCACAACATACATGTAAAGAGGAACCATCATTATCCCCAATTTGACAAAAAGAAACAGCGCTTGGGAAGGTATTGCAGCTTGCCTAAGATCGCGCAGCCAATCAGGGAAACCCAAAGCCCATTCACATAGTGATTTGCAGGACACAAGGCCTAAAGTGGAAAGTGGGACTCTGGGGTTCTAGAACCTCATAGCAAAAGGACCACGTGAGGCTCAGCCTTGGGTTACAGGGGCAAAGGCCTGGCCAGGTGCCAGAGAGCAAAAGTGAGAAGGGAGCCCCAGTGGGTGATCTGTGAGGAAGAAGAGAAGTAGTCGAGCTCGGCTTCCCTGAATCCCCAGCATTGAAGACTTGATCAAATCTGACCTGAATCTGCCACCTGTCCACCCTTTTCTTCCGGGTTGCCAATGTCCTGACCATCCCCACTCCCCACTCCATACCTCAGCCCACACTCATGGCTCCTGGGACCTCTTCTTCCCTGGGCCCCAGGCAGCCCATTACACTCCCCTCAGCTGCCCTCCTAGACAAAACAGGCTTTGCCTGGCTTATGTCCTGCCAGCACACTGTACTAAGGCCACCCAAGCCTGCAGAGGCTCAGAGAGGTCCCCGGGATGTGCTTCCAAGCTCCCCCCACTCACCTGCCTAAACCCAAAGCCCACAGAGCATGTATACACACCTAGATAAGATGTCAGGATCCCTCCCTCCAGCAGGTGATGAACATTTACATAAATAACCTGGGTTCAAGGGAAGCTGATGGCAGTCTAGAAGGTACATCAAAAGCCTGAGCAAGCTGGGCACGGTGGCACACGCCTGTAATCCCAGCAGCTCAGGAGGCTGAGGCAGGAGAATCTCGAGTTCAAACCCACCCTCGTCAAGGGCAAGGTGCTTGGCAGCTCAGGGAGACCCTGTCTCTAAATAAAATACAAAATAGGGCTGGGGATGTGGCTCAGTGGTCAAGTACTCCTGGTTCAATCCCAGTACCCACCCCGCCTCCCCCCAAAAAAAGCCTGGGCAAACTCATAGGGAAAAGGCCCAGAGCAAGGAGATAGAGAGACAGGTAGAGGAAAAGACAAGTGATCTGGGAAGGAGGAAGGAGGAGGGCAAGGAAAGGGTCTCAAATACTCAAGGGCAAAGGTGGACAAAGCACCTGCTGCTCTTGTGCAGCAGCTCTGGACTGGGGCCTGAGAAGGAGAGGTACCTGCAAAATCAGTGGTCCAGGTGGGCTCTGAGCTCTAGCACAAGGTAGTATGATTGGATGGATGGTAAGGACTGCCTATGCCCCAACTGCCTCTTATGTTAAAAGGGCCATGGGCACCTACTTTTAAGTGTGGCCTGGCCACTCTTATCATTGCAGCAAGGACGGGCTTGGTGTATAGGCCCGGCTCCTACTGAAGAGGCTGACAAAGCTACTGCGTGGGGAGACCTTGACCACGCAAAGGAACATGGTGAGACTCATGGCCATGTGTCAGGGTCCTATAAATAACTGCCACTGCCCCTTCCTTTAATGAGCATCTGCTGGGCATGCCAGTGCAGTGTGTGCATGGACAGCCCTGGGACCTCCCACTCCCAGCTGGTACTCCCCACTGTCCAGCCTGCTCAGGGAAGGCCAGCCAGGAGGGGGAAAGTACACACTTCCACCCTGGTCAGGGCCTTCTCCCATGTTCATCACCAGCCCAGCTCCGCCAGAACAAGGCCCAGCCTCCTTGACACATGCTCCATGAGGACTCTCGGGCCACAAACCTTTCTCCAACAGAACAGATTCCACCCCCTGCACCCCAGCTGTCCTTCTGCCCAGCCACCCCATCCCCCAAGGGGCTCTGTCCGCCAACCTCTAATCCTCTCTGTCATCTGACCCAGGCTCCACCCTAAACTGGCTTTGCCCAGCCACCCTTCTGAGGCCCAAAAATGGACACAGTCATTTATAGAGGGTCCGACAAGCCAAACGCAATGGGAAGATGACCTCATGGCGCCCACAGGCCTGAGCTTCAGGCACACTGGGGGTGGCTGAGAGGCCAGCAGTGGCAGTAGGAAACCTTACAGGAATACACTCCTCATGAGCCAGAGCCACATGCAACCCGGTCTTTGACCGTGTCCAGGGACTCAGCCTAGAACAAGGCATCTGGCTCACATCTAGATAGGATTTGATGAACAAGGGACAGCAAAGTAGTACATGACACAAATCGGCCCACCCACAGGCCTGTTTTAGGGCTCCCAAATCAATCCCCCCAAATGCCCTCATTTGTTCATAAACACTAAGCTCCTATTGGGCGATTTACCTATTGGTAAATGCCCAAAGTGCACACATATGGATCTGCCCTAATCAGTGGTAGAGGCAGATGGATCAGTGGGTAACAGCAACCCAGGATCCACGGAAAGACACAGAGGAGACCTGGTTCAGTGACTCCCATAGAGATCCACAACACCAGAGGACAGGGTGCCCTTGACCACACTGTGACCCCCTGAGTCTCAATGGATGTTTGAGCTGAGATGGGGTGTGCGGAGAAGAGAGGATGAACGATGGGGGGCACTTCTTCCTATATGAATATCATTTGACCCTTCCACCATAGCTCCTGTTATTCTTCGTCAAAAAATGCCCTCCTATGACAAAAAAAAGTAATAGGAATTGTCCCGTTATTCATTGATTTGACTGAGGCAAAGTAAGGACAGTGGTAGGGCGATTATAAGGCAGCAGGATTGAAGTCCCATTAGCAATGAAAGTTAGAATGGGTCCTGAACACCACCAGAAGATGCTGAGGAGGCAGACCTGTGAACAACAGCCAGCCTGTGACAGATTCTGAGTGGCAGGAAAAGCAAACAGAAGAGGTTGGTGTGGATTGAGGTATGGGGAGCAGGGCCTGCAGCTGGGCCAGGAAGGAAAAGGATGGAAGGAAGTCTACGTTCAAAGACAGCCATGATGCCTGTTATACTGCCTTGGCTTCTGGTGGGGTGAGGGTGCCTAACTAGTACCCGGTGGGGAAGAGAACAGCTGTGGCACTAAGCAACTGCAGTTCCAAGAAGCCCAGGTTTGGGCAGGGCCTAACCTGCTGTTGGCCAAGTCCAGCATCCATTGCCCACCAGTTGTCAGCCAACTGCCCAAGACCACAGAATAGGGGTTGAAGAGGGAGCTCAAGCCAGGCAGGAGCTCCCAGGCTGCTGTGAGCCAGCGACACATGGCCACTTACAATAAGGGGACACAACCCATGCCTAGAACTTTGCCTAGAATTACATCAAAGATGATGCTTCAGAGAAAGGCAATTGGGGGAAAGGGGCACGCCAGGAGCAATGGGGAGCCAGGCAGGAGATGGACATCAGCAGAAGGGACAGGGAACCTGTCTCAGGGAGCTCTCAGATTCCTATTCATCTTCCTCCTCTTCTTAGGATCAGGAAACAGGCTCAGGCCCAGGGCTGCCTGCTCCAGGCACCTAGATGGATTAGCCAGTCATGGGGAGGAGGGGGAGCAAGAGTAACTGCTGCTATCCCTCCAACCTGGAAGATGTAAGTCTTCCCAGCCCCCACCAAGCTATTCCTGGGGCTCTAATCCCTCCTCCTGGGGTGGGGTAGGGGAGCTGGGGCTGGCCAGATCTGGAGCCTGGCCCGCAGCCCTTCCCTCCACACACAACCACCCCCTTAGCCCAACCACAAGGATAAGCACTGGGACTCAGGGAGACACAGGGGAAGCTTCCCCCAATCCCCCACCCCGCGCCATCACGTGACTGCATCCTTAGGGAGCCCGCAGGTCTCAGCTGCAAAAGTCATTGTTTATAAACAGCCACAAGGCCAGCTGGGGAAGGCCGGCTTGTCCCCGGGTCCCCACCCGGTCCGCCACGGAGCTCTTGGGGGGCTAGCTACCCTGGCAGAAACACGGATTCTACATTCTCAGATTTCAGTAAGAATCGTCAGGGGGAAGTGGCGTCAGCAGCTGGCGTGATCCAATTCAATAAACCAGAGATGGCTTGGGATAAAAAGCTGACCCGGCAAGGACCCCCGCCTCCCAATCCCTGCATTTCCTGCACAGTCAGGGTGCCCCAGGAAGCCCCGACACCATCCCCCCGCGCCAGCTGGGAGTCATTCTCGGCGAAGAGGGGTCGGATTTCCTGCGGCGCCCTACACGCCCCTACTCTGGGACAGGTCCCCACCCGGCCGGCCAGGGCTACCAAAGCCAGCACCGCCACCCCCTCCCGGACAGCGGGAAACGCTAAGCCCCTGCTCGAACAAGGGGACCTCCTGGAGGGGTGCGCAGCCCTCTGCTGACCGCGGAGCCAGGCAGGAGCTCCCAGGCCGCAGGCACCTCGCAGGAAAAGAAATCCGATCCTTCTTTCGGGCCAGTGGGATCGAAGGTGGAGAGGTGGTGGGAAAGAAAACTGCGGGCTCCAGCACCCCCGGGCTGGAAAGTAGCCTTAGGAGTCCGGGGCGTGCGGTAGCCCCGGGCCGGAAAGAAACGCTCCCACCCTTCCCCGGAGTGGGCCCCTCCAGAATTGCCCGCACGGGCTTGGAGAGCTGGGGGTCTCCACCTTGCCTCCCAGCCTCCCAGCCCTTGGCCTCCAGGGTGGGGTTACACAGGACCCAGCGCAGCTACGGGATCCCAGAGCGTGGGCCGCCACTTCTCCGCAGGGGAACAGCGACTGTACAAAGCGGCCGAAGGCAGGGAGAGGAGGAGGTGAGCGGACAGCTGCGCCCTCCCCTGCCCCAGCCCAGGTGGGGAGACAGAGAACGCGAACCGAAGGGGGAAACTCAGAACATCGGGGGTCGCAGCCTAGGGACCCCTGGGCAGCCGCCGTGCGACGGCGACAGGGCCCGACCCTGGGGAGTAGGGGGACAGGTGACCGACACCGGTTCGCTCACCTTCTCCTGCGCGCGGGTGAGCTTCTTCTGTACATTGCTGGCGATCTTCCCCGCCGTCACCCCCTTACTGCCCATCTCTGCCATCGCGGCGCCGGCCTCGCCCGGTGGCGGGGGCCCTTTCTTGCTCTGGGAGGCCGTGCGCGCCGCGCTCCCAGCCCCCAGCCCCGGCCGCGCGTCCGGCCCCGGCTCCTGTCCACGCCGCTCACTAGTCAGCGGAGCCGACTGACGGAGGCGGAGCGTGCGTTGGGCTAGCGAGACAGCGACGCTGGGACCCGGGAGGGACGGACGAACCAAGGAAGGGGGCAGGGAGGAGGGGCTGGGCCTCGGGCGGCGGTCAGCTCCCCCTGCCCGCCCCCTCCGGACAAGACACTGCCTTTTAAAGGGCCACCCCTCGCCGGAACCGCACAGCCTGGGAGGAGGGAGTCTGCTGCGCTGACGCCGGGTGCTGCGGCGAGAGGTACTCCCAAAACGCTCCGGTGACACCGCCCCGGGGCGGGGCCTAACACGACAGTCTGGGGTCCAGGACCGCCGCGGGCCCGACTCTTTGGTCCTCTTACCCAGCAGTCACCTCCTGCAAGTCTAGAGGATTGGGAACTTTCGAAAATCAAAGATAATGTGTTGTGATTGGTACGTGATCAAGGAGCCTCAACTGGAAGAATATGGCCCGAGAGTCCAGCCTTTCCGGGGGCTCGAGTCCAGCTGGATACCTAAAGCTCCGCCTTCTCGTTGCTGGTAGCCGCACAAGTCTCTCTGCACGCCTGGGGCACATCTCCAAGTCTTTCCCTGGCGCCTAGCCCTGTGCCATCTTAGGGCTCCGTCTTTCCAAGTTGCCAGTAATCGTGATCATAATAACCACCTAACATTACTGCGCACTTACTGTGTGCCTGGCACTGTGCTGACTGTTTTGATAACCATTATTTCCTTCAGTCTCCAGACAGCCCTATGAAGTAGGTGTTGTTATTGCCATTCTACAAACAAGACACTAAGACGCCTGAACCAAGATTTCTGACCATGCGCCTGGTTCTCCACCGCTCAATACTGAGTTGTTTCCTAATTCCTGCAGACGGGAAAATAATTAAGGATCATTTTCATGGAGAACAAGATTATTGTTCGCCAACTTTGCCAACAGACCAACGTCAGTTATTATAAATTACAGAATTGGTTCCAGGACCTCAGCAAACTCCAAACCCCATGGATGCTAAAGCCCGCTATATAAAATGGTGTAGTATATATTTTTTTAATAACCTACACATATCCTTTCTGGGTACTTTAAATCATCTCTGGGTAAGTTATAATACCCAATACTTGCAAATGCCAAGTAAATAATTGTTATACTGTATTGTCTAGGGAATAATGACAAGTGGAGAAAAAAGAAGTCTGTACATCTTCAGTACAGACACAATGTTTCCCCTTGAATATTTTTGATCCAGAAATATGGAACCCACAGGTACAGAGGATGAACTGTAATAAATATGTACATCCACTACCCCCAGAACATACCAAGAACTGTAAAGGATGCTGCCCTGGAAGTTTCTCAGAAACTATGGGAGACAAGTTAGACTCAGCTGTCCAGAGTATTAACAGGAGCTGGAGGGAGCCACACATCAGTCAGAGGTGCGGGCCTGGCCTAGGGTTGGGGGTCTCAGGACTGGGGGTTCCTGTAAGAAGGGTTCTTGCAAACTGCATGTGAAGCCCCTTGTACAAATAGAGACACTGAGGCCCCGGAATAAAAGATCCAGCCTACATTCATACAAGTGCATCTCTCTTTCCTGGGAGGCTCTCCTGCCTGCTCCTTAGTTGCTCCTGGTTCTTTCCCCCTCCCTCCTCACTCCCCTGGTCTCCCTCCTGGCCTATTATTCTTCCTATTCTGCAGAAAGACAGCAGGTTCAGCAGTTGCCTCACTGTTGAAAGTCACAGAGATAGCAAATGCCAAGCACAGATCCAGCCCTCAAAACCTACCGAGCACTGCATAAATAGAAAGCATTCTGTCGAAACTATTATGAACTTGTGCTTCATTCATGAGCTCCTAAAACATGTCAACAGCCCTGGTTCCTAAGGCAGCTTTCTCTTGAAAGCTCAACATGCTTTCAACTCAAGGTTCCTCTCCACCTAATTTTAAGACTGTCAATCATTCTTTCAAAATTATTTTTTGGGCTGGGGATGTAACTCCATGGTAGAGAGCTTGCCTCACACGTATGAGGCACTGGGTTTGAACACTCTGTGTTCCATCTTCAGCACAGGGGGAGGGAAAGTGATTTCTTCCAGTGCTCCTCTAAGGAGAGGAAGAAATGAGCAGAAGTCAAATTCTGTTATAGTCAGCCCCCCGGGAATAGTAGGAGATTTTGCTTGGCTGGACATTGGTGTTTCAAAATATCACTTGAAGGAAAAATAGGAAACAACTGAAATGTTCATCAGTGGAACAGGGTCAGTCATGACTATACAGAAACCAGAGGGGCCATTAGGGAATCATTTAAAATAACCATGACAAAGATTATGTGGCAATATGAAAATGATGCTTATGGCATAGTTATGAGTGCAAAGAGCAAGATAGGAAATTGCATATGCAGTATTCTTACAACCACATAAAAATTAATTAAATACTCAGGATTAAAAGATTCAACCATGCATCAAAATAGAAAGTAGTTGCAATAGGGTCAAGGCATTGTGGCTGATATTTTCCCCCTTCATTTCCTAAGTATCCTAAAATATATTGCCTTCATAAAAAGAACCACATGTCCTTCTATTTTGAGACAGTGTCTCACTAAGTTGCTTAGGGCCTTGTTAAATTGCTGAAGCTGGCTTCAAACTCACAATCCTCCTGCCTCAGCCTCCTGAGCTTCTGGGATTACAGGCATGTGCCACCACCTCTGGCCCATGGCTCTATCTTTAAAAGTGATTCTTTATCTAATGTCTAGATCAGACTTCCCTAAACACAAAAGCATTGAAGCATATATGAAATTTTTAAATGATAGTTTTTAAGTGCATAAAAATTAAAATTTTTGAACTTCAAAAACTGCAGTCCACATGTAGGATAAAAGTTTAGAAGAAAATGCTTCAAAAATGTTAATACAAATCAAAGAGGTAGAATGTAGGAGATTTTTACTTTCTTCACAATTTTTTATAATATGCTATTTTCTTTTAATCGGGATAGTTCATTATTTTAAATATCAAGGGGAAAACTTTCTGTTTTGAATTCTGACATTTAAAAAATAGTGTAAATAGAAATAGTTTTTAAGTTCATTTTTAAAACAGTAAGAGCCCTATTTATAAATGGTAAAATAGTACAAATGGATAATTCACAAAATTGGATATTTGAAAATTAACAAATAGATTTTTTAATTTCACTCTTTACCAGACAAAAAGAGATGTTCATTAAACCAACAGATACCTTCCCTGTCCTACTTTCATAATAATTTTTGTGTGCATGGTACTGGGGATTGAACCCAGAAGCGCCCTACCAGCTGCAATCCTTTTTATTTTTCATTTTGAGTCAGTGTCTCACTAAGTTGCCCAGGCTCTCCCCAAACCTGTTATCCTCCTGCCTCAGCCTTCCAAATCACTGGAATTGCAGGCTTGCACCATTGTGCCCAGCAACTGATTTTTTTTTAATTATCTTACTTATAAAAACCAGAGAGACAGAAACTCTCACTCACTGCTTCTCAGAGTACAAACAGATACAAAATTTCTAGAAAGCAGTTTGCAGTAGTCTAAGAATCATCAAAATATTCACACTCTTCAACCCTACATTCCCAAGTCCAGGAAATAATTCAAAAATTTCAGCAACACTTTAACCACACAGATGTCCACCACATTATTTAGAATGGTACAAAACTGAAAACATCCAATATGCTACCATCATCATTCTGAATGATTAACTAAACTATGTGTAATGTCATACATGAAATGTTTACCAGAACGATAATGCTTGTGAAGCTTTTCGTGATGGTAGAATAATGCAGAATAAAACCAACCACTATCCAAAATGCGATTGCTATTTCTGGGTGGAGTAATTTGGGAGGGAGGATTTGGGGGTTTGTTTTTCTTATTCTTTGTTTTTTTACTTTCCCAACTTTGTATATGTCCTATTTTAGTCATCAGATAGAAATGCTATTAAAAATGCGAACTGAAATGAAGAAACTCTCCTAGAACAATAATTGAGAAACCACAGATGTGGCAAAATAGAAAGAGAAATCTCAGAGTCAGAGAGTATATGCCATGTGTTTGAACTTCAAGGACTGGAGAAATTATGTTTTCTTGTTTGTTTTTAGTAAACTAAATATTCTACAACCGTTTTTAAGTTCTCAAGAAAATTGAGTGGAAGATACAAAGATTTCCTGTATCCTCCCCACAACACATGCACAGCCTCCCCCACTATCAACAACCCTCCCACCCCCAATGGTACCTTTACTGCAATTGATGAACTACATTGATACACCATTGTCCCCCGAAGCTCATAGTTTACATCAAGGTTCACTCTTGGGGATATACATTCTGAGAATTTAGACAAATGTATAATGACATACATTTACCATTAGTGTATCAAACGAGTAGTTTCACTACCTAAAAATCCTTTATGGTCCACCTACTCATCTCTACACCCTCACCCCTTAGCATTCACTGATCATTTGACCTTCCCCATAGTTTTTCCATTTCCAGAATGTCAGATAGTTGGAATCACACCCGTGTAATGCATTCAGATTGGCTTCTTTCACTTGATAATATGCATTTAAGTTCCCTCCATGTCCTTCTGTGGCTTGATAGACTGTTTCTTTTCAACACTAATAATATTCCATGGTCTGGATGTAGCAGTTTATCCATTTACCTATGGAAGGACATCTTGTTTGTTTGTAAGGGTCAGCAATCATGAATAAAGCTGCTGTAAACATCTATGTACAGATTTTCATATAGACCTAAGTTATAGACTCCTTGGATAAATATCAAGGAATTCAATTGCTGGATAAATGGGAAGGGTATGTTTAACGTTGTGAGGAACTGACCAGAGTAGTAGTCTTCCAGAGTAGTGGGGCCATTCTGCATTCACACCAGCAATGGATGCCAACATTTGGTGTTGTCAGACTTCTGGATTTTGGCCATTCTGATATCTGTGTGTTGGTGTCTCATTGATTGGAAAGTGTCTGTCTGCCTGTTTTTGTTTAAACCATGAGGAACACAGGCAAGCCAAAAGGAGTCCTCCTTTCCCTTGGAGAGAAAACAGCATTCCCCCATGTTCCCTTTTATAATTCAAGAATTAAAGGCTCTGAACTAGCACTATCAGCAGCAGCA